GGTCTTACATCTTCAACACCTTGCCATAAAGCGCCGGGCACGATTTCGTTGGCACCAAAATCAAATGCGATTGAGGATGATCACTCTTTTGGTAGCGTTTGCTATACAGTGTGCATCAACTCTTGACTAGCGAAGATACATTTCATAATTGAAATAATATTATGAAATGGGGCTAAACTTCCTACTGTTCTGGTCCAAATCGGCTTATAAACACGGGCATTTTCCCAGGACAGCGACCCTACGGCCCACGCTTTTATCGAAGTCCAACTATCAAGGAATTTTTTTACGTCGTCCACGTCAATGTGTACGCGCGAACTCTGTCTTTCGCCCCATCCAGACGACAAGAAAGCTGTCCTTGTCAGACCCTCCGCCCTGCAACACTGACATGCGAAAACCAGGCAGGAAAATCACGTTGAACCTTTTCGGTCAACACCGACCCCCAGACTAGGAAGCCAGTTTCTTACTCACTGAACCATCGTGGCTCCTAGTTCATAACTAAACATACATAATGTAAAGCAATACATTTTGTTGTCATTTTTATCCAGCTATATGCAACATATGCTAGAGACTAGACTAGAGACGACTAAAGCTTACCTGCCCTGCCCCCAAGGTCTAGACCGAGAATGGTCAGCTGTGATCTGAACACACCTATCTTTGTATTTGAAATGTGGACGTATATTATCGTCGCCCCCGCCCGACGCGCTAGAGTCTAATGTTAATATCTGATTGAATTTAAATTTATGCACAGTGTTTAAGGTCATGAATGAAGAAGCAAATTGAATTTGAACGATTTACGATAATTACTGCCAGAGTTATAGCCCATCATATTTATCCACAGTGATTAAGGTCATGGATGAAAAAGCCAATTGATTTTGAACGATTTACGATAATTACTGCCAGAGTTGTGGCCCATGATATTAAATGTTAGTATAGGGTAGAACTCGTAATCAGAATTTAGTGTGTTGTAAATGTTTGCATTACTGACAAAAGGAAAAGTATGTCACAACCCTTGTTGACTGCTCGGAGGACTTAGCTGCTGAGGGCGTATGCTTCGTTGCCTGACAATCTATTGTTAGCTGGTTATGTTACCGCAGCATTTGTTTCAGTGACGAAGGGCTGCAGCTATGTAGACTACACCGCAACATGCCCGCAAAGTTATCGTTTCCTGTAAGACTGTAGATCTGAATCAAGCGTGCCACACTCAAATCTTGACTGCGAATAACCCGATTCGGAATAATTGTTCCGGGTTAAATTCGGAAAAATATACGGATTCGTTAATTCAGATTCAGTTCGGTTTTTGTCGAATTGAGTGTGACGCCAAAGTCCGGAATAAGGCTTTATTCTGAATTCAATTACGAGTCTAGTAATATATCTGTCAAAGATGACTGCCATAACATGCTGCCTTTCAGTCATTTCAATAACCATTTATACTAAATAGGAAATGATTTTTATCTACAAATACGTCAAACGCCTTTATTTATGTTTCCAATACATAAAAAAAATGTTTTAGAATTTAATTTGTCGCAGGAAAAAAGTTAATATTTCTGGCTCATTAAGTCGCATGGATGTCATCCTTATCAGTGATTTTAGCGACCTAGCGAACATTCACTCCTGATCAGTGTGACCAATTCGCTTGAGCACTGGTGTTTTTTTTTCATTGGTTTAAACACAGTAATACTAGGCAGAATCGGGTCGAAACTACCACTTGCATGAATTAAAGATTTTACGTCTCACCTCTTCTCGAATTACAACTTTGTACTTTTAAACTTTAAATTCTCGACCAAGGATTTTCCATTCAGTGTTAAGGGCATGTTAGTAGTAAATGTGTCATCACACTTGGGTACATAATTAGCTCAGAATATCGGAAAATTCCATCACGAAATACAAAATACGCAGACAAATATGGATAGACATCCTCCGTCCTTACCATCACGGTTTATGGAAAGAAGTTATAGTCTATGGAAAGTAAACAAATTGTGCACGTAGGGGTTTTACTGGGAGGCGAAACCTGGGTAAAACTCAGCAGATGCGAAACCTGGCGGTAAAACCGAAGAGATGCAAAACCTGGGGTAAAACCCAAGAGATGCGAAACATGGGCGTAAAATCCAGTACATGCGAAACCTCGGGTAAAACCGAAGAGATGCGAAATCTGTCGGTAAAACTCAAGAGATGCGAAACCTGGGGGTAAAACCCAAGAGATACGAAACCTCGGGTAAAACCCAAGAAAATAGCCAGTGCAGTACAGATTCATTAAACGCATTGAAAACCACTAAACATTTGTCGACTAATAAATTGGCAGTTACATCTCTTGGCAGTTGGAAATTCATGAAGTGTAAGCGGAAACGCAGATGTCCGGGGTAAAAAAAAATCCGCGGCCCACACGTGTATCCACTGGCATGCGCATAATAGAACACTTGACAGTTGAAAGTTGACGCCACTTAACTGCAGTATCTAAATTATTAATTAGACATTAATTAACCAATCCAGACTATAATCAACTCTAGCCTGCTATCTTAAGTGGATTATGAGCCGATTTACTGCATAACTTTCCTTCACGATTTAACGATTAAATGGATAATCGAGACTATGCTGTTTATCGTACTGACTTTATTACTGAAGATAGAGGCAAAGCAGGAATTTCAAACGCTTAGTTCTCGGTTCATAGTGGATCAATTTGAATGAAATTTTCAGTAAATTGCCTTCACTTTATTTAGTTTTTAACTTTTACAGTGAGAACTGCCAACTCGTTATCGAATCTCCCATAATGTATCTTTAATATAGGTTGCTTTATTAGAGAAATAGGTAATTTCCATCCGTAAAGCGCCGGCTAACTTTAACATGCCGTTATATTTAACGGAGGCTGTCATTCGAGGTATACCCTTAGCAAAAGGTTATAGAACATTCTAAAGGATTGGAGGTGGGGGGCTATACCATTTTCTATTGAATGAAATTCTATAGTATTTTACAGAATTTTGTGGGCCTGTATAGGAAATAATGGCCCCAAATATACTACAGTTTCTGTAGTGCAAATTACATTATTTTTCCTACAGATTTATGCTAAAATTTCTAAAGGAAATATAAAGTATTCTATTGTTTTTATAGTGTTTTCTGTATAAATTCTACAGTTATGTTTATGTCTTTATTCAAGTTTTGTGAACAGACTGCAGAGTTGTCCCACTGTCTTCAGTTTTTTGTTAATACTAACTTTTATGAAGTTGTTATGCTTGTACATTGAATTTAAAAATTTAAAATTCAGCCAATGAACAGTCTGTTCTTGGATTAACTTTATTCAGTCCATTAGCTAACGGATAATTAAAATGTCTTTCCAGCAACAGAAATTTAACGGAAATGAAATAAATGAAATTTGGTTTAACGTCCTACTGTTCTGCCCCTATACTGGGCTAATGAAGACGGGCATACGCCATACAGTGTGCTATGAGGGAAATTTTGCCCGGGCAGTGGCACTCTCGCCTACTCTTATATCGAATTCCAACTGCCAAGGGATATTTTACGTCCATTCCAATGTATACACGGGACCTCGGTTTTTCGTCTCATCCGAAGGACTAGACAGCTGTCCTTGTCAGGCCCTCCGTTCTGCACCACTGACAAGGGGAAACCACGTCGGAAAATCCAGATGAACTTTCTCGGCCAATGCAGGGATCGAACACCCGACCTCCAGGCTAACGAGCCAGCGTCTTAACCACCTAGCCACTGTGGCTCCCTCCGTGAAATACGCGAACAGATAAAATTGAACGACAGTCGTTTACCCCTCCTGCTCCCTCCATTATACACGTTGTTTATATAATTATTATATTATCGATTGTGAATCAGCCATTATTAGTTAAATTTGCCATGCCTTGTAAAATATATATATTCTTTTATTCATTACAAATGGCACTTGAACTCGTGTACTGCTTATAAAATGGCAATGTGTCTTAAATATTGGATATTAGAATCCCAGGTTCATGGCAAGATAACAATATCAATATTGATTGAAATGGACCAATACTGAATTCTTATTCGTGTTTTTTAAATTAAATCTTGAGTTAGGGGCGGGGGGAGTGGTTAGAGTGTGCTCACTGCCTCATAAGGTCTGTCATTGAGTCAACTGGCGTGGTTGCGATTTGCGATTCCCTGGTTCAAAGTGACAAGGAGTAGGGTCGCCTGTCATATATTTTCCTGCGGTTGAGGGAACCGAATTAGGAGGAAAATAATTTCTCTCCATATGCGTAGTAATATAAGGGGTATGAAGTACTATTTGCAAGTAAATAGTCTTACGAAGTCATTCAGGTCGAAGTCGCCAGATGCAACAGATGTTTTTACAACTTAACACTGATTTGTTTTCACTACGTGTACGTCCGACAGATAGGTGTTTATCTACGACAACATAATGGATCAACACGAAAACATTCAGTCTGCTGTATCTTTAGCTGACATTTTGAATGAAGTAAAACATCAGAGAATTGAAACAGAAAAGAAGTTCGATTTGTTACGAGCAGAATTACATGGGACTGTGCAGAAGTTTTCATCTGACGTGAAGAAGATCAAGACAGATCAAGATCATGATTGGAAATTTAAAGGCAATAAGATTCAGTTTGGTTTCAACGTAGAACTGGGAGATAAGATCCAACATATAAGACATGCAGTTCATAATGATGACAGAGAGGGTTTAGATGGCTTAATAGATGATGTTATGACCAAACTAACTGAAAGAAATAAATTGATTAAAATAGCAGATTCATCGGCAGGTGGCTGGGAGACTGTCAACCAGTATGTATCTAATCCCTTGGCCAGTGATTCTGAAGATGAAAAGAGAATTATCAGAGCTGAACAGAGAGCATTGAAGAAAAGGAAGGAGTCTAAAGGTAGATCTTCCGTTTCTAAGAGAAGAAGATTATATGATAGTAATGGCAGTTCGGTGACAGCAAGTTCGTCTAATTTGGTTTCCTGTGTTCCTGCAAGCAGTGGCGGGGGCAGGAACTATTCATTTCGTCCCCAACAAAACAGAGGTTCCTGCTACAACTGTGGAGAGTTCAGTCATTACAGAAGAGATTGTCCCCACACCAACTCTTACAACAACACAACAACCGTTAAATCAACATAGTGACGAGATTTCAACCTGTATAAAAGATGAGTATTTTCATGATTTTAATGATTGTAATGTAGATCAGTCGGCCGTAGAGAGGTTCACGCATGATTATTTCGAATATGAGGAAGGTCAAGCTAACATTTTAGTTAAAGGTCGATTACGCAAAAATGTAAAATTCTGGAAAGAAATTAACTGTAATTCGTATATATTAGATGTTATTGAAAATGGTTACAAGATTCCTTTTAATGATGTTCCAGATTCTAAGTTTTTAAGAAATAATAGATCTGCTTTAGATAATTCAGAATTTGTAGAAGGGGCTATTAAAGATTTAGAGGTAAGGGGCTTGGTGAGTAGATGTCAAGTTCCTCCAAGAGTTGTTAATCCGCTCTCAGTATCTATTCAGAGTAGTGGTAAGAAAAGGTTAATTTTAGATTTGAGAGAAGTTAATAAATTTGTCGGTAAGCAGACGGTTAAATATGAGGATATTCGTACAGCATTGTTATATGTAAAGGAAAAGTCCTGGATGTTCAAGTATGATATACATGCTGCTTATCATCATGTCGAGATTTGTGATGCACACACACAGTTTCTAGGTTTTTCATGGGTCACGAATGGAGTCGCAATCTATTATAAGTTCTTGGTGCTACCATTTGGTCTAAGTACAGCACCTTTTTTATTTACTAAATTATGCAGAGTTTTGGTCAAAAAATGGAGAAGTGAAGGTAAATATATTGTTATGTACATCGATGATGGTTTTGGTGTTCATGATGATTATAATATGGCACATAAGCTTAGTCAAGATGTTAAGAAAGATCTTTTAGCTAGTGGGTTTGTTCCTAAAAATGAGAAGTCAACTTGGGAGCCTGTACAAGAGTTAATATGGTTAGGAGTGGTGATAAATTCTGAAAATGCAAATTTGAGAATTCCACAGAGACGATTAGATAAAGTCTTTCGATCTATAGTTCAAATTCAGCGTGATTGTATATCGAATAAGGCAGTAGCTGTGAAAAAGGTAGCGAGTGTTGTCGGCCAGATTATATCTATGTCTATTGTTGTCGGAAGTATTTCCCAAATCATGACACGATCATTGTCTATTGATATTTTAAATGGGTTTAGTTGGGATTCTAAAGTACGTATTTCTGAACAGAGTATTCAACAGTTATTTTTTTGGAAGGAAAATATAAGTAAAATTAATTCTAAAGTTTTAAATTTTCAGCCTGGCTGTGAACGAATAGTGTATTCAGATGCTAGTAATGAAGGGTATGGGGGGTATTGTGTACAAGCCTATCGTGATGTTGTTCATGGTTTTTGGAGTTCTGAGGAAGCGATCAAGAGTTCTACTTGGAGAGAACTTGAAGCTGTTCGTTGTATTCTTAAATCTATAGTACATATTTTAAAAAATAAAAGGTTGAAATGGTTTTCAGATAATCAGAGTGTGATTTCTATTGTTCAGAAAGGTAGTATGAAGGCAGAATTGCAATGTATTGCATTTGAGATATTTAGCATTTGCTTAGAAAATGGAATTATTCTAGAGATAGAATGGATACCTAGAGCTGGGAATGTTAGAGCAGATTGTTTAAGCAGAATTGTTGATTATGATGATTGGGCAGTTGGAGATGGAATTTTTAAATATATTAGTAATATATGGGGACCATACGAAATTGATATATTTGCATCAGAACATAATCATAAGTGTGATGTATTTTATTCCAGATATTGGAGTCCAAATTCTTCAGGAATAGATGCCTTTTCTTTACCATGGCAGGGTAGAAACTGTTTTATTGTACCACCTGTGTGTCTGATATCACGTGTCATGAAATATGTGGTTGAATGTAAAGCTTATGGCACAGTAATTATTTCGTTATGGAAGTCAGCAAGTTTTTGGCCGTTGATTTGTCCGAATGGTTACAAGTTTATATCTGTTATTAAAGATTGGGTTGATTTACCACGTGGAAAGGAGTTTTATAAGTCCTCGTTGCATTATGAGAGTATATTTGGCACGAAAGATTTAACGTTTAGGATGTTGGCATTAAGAATTGATTGCCGTAGTTAGATACGACAATTTGAGCTTGAGAAGGCTGGTGATAAGTCGAGGTGACTTCGGATTAGTTGAGATAACTAATGATTGATTAAATGATGTGATGTTTGTAGTATAACTGAGAGATTTTTGTTTATCGGTGTGGTCTATAATGTAATTTTAATGTCAATCATATATAATAATATGGTAATTTGTGTTTCGTTATTATCATGTTATAACTATTTTTTAATGTTGTCTTCTAAATATTTTTAGAACTGCTTATGGGACAGAGTTAGACGAGTTACCAGTAAGTTTATCATCATCTGTGAATGTATTACCCGAGTTATTAACCGATGTTAAGGCGAAATCTACAACTGTGAAATATTATCGGGGTTATTTAGCCTGGAAGAAATGGTTTCGATGTAATAATGTGCAAGGGAATGTGTTACCTGCTAATCCTTTACATGTTGCGTTATATTTAACATCTCTGATACAAGAAAAGAACAGTATAAGTCCGGTGATTCATGCTTTCTACAGTTTGAAGTGGGTTCATTCGTTAGCTAATTTGGCTTGTCCTACAAATTCTCAATTGGTGATTAATGTGTTACAGGCTGGAAAACGACGTTTAGCGAAACCTGTAAATAAAAAGCTTCCTGTTACCGCAGAACATTTAGAATGTATGTATGATAAAACGTTTGTTAACAGATGTGCTTATAAACAAAGAATAATTTGTGCTTGTTTGTTGGCGTACAGTGGCTTTCTTAGAAGTGCCGAATTATTAAATATATCTACTTCGGATTTAAGTTTTGACGACACCCATTTGTCTATTTTTCTTGAGAAAAGTAAGACTGATATCTATAGAGACGGTGCATGGGTTGTAATAGCACGAACGGGCAACAAATTGTGTCCTGTTAAGAATTTAGAGCATTATTTGGATTGGGCTGGGCTAAATAAAGATGAAGATATGTTTTTATTTCAGGCTTTGAGTAAGTGTTCAACGGGATATTGTATTAAGGGTATTAACAAAGCACTTAGTTATACTAGATTAGTAGAATTGTTTAAAGAAGCGTTTCAAGGTATAATAGATTGTTCAAAATATGGGTTACATAGTTTGCGTGCGGGAGGTGCGACAGCGTGTGCAAATAGGGGTATCCCTGATCGTTTGTTTAAGCGCCATGGGAGATGGAAATCAGAAAATGCCAAAGATGGTTATGTCAAGGACGATTTGAAACAACGTCTTAGCGTGTCTTTGAGTTTGGGTCTATAAGGCGAATCTAATTTAAATGGTGATTTATGATACTAGTTCTTTCTTTGATATTCAGGCGGTTCGACGCTGCATACCACTAGAAGTGTTATGGGTTTTGATATGGAGCAGGGGAGGAAGAGAAATATATTTTCCTGCGGTTGAGGGAACCGAATTAGGAGGAAAATAATTTCTCTCCATATGCGTAGTAATATAAGGGGTATGAAGTACTATTTGCAAGTAAATAGTCTTACGAAGTCATTCAGGTCGAAGTCGCCAGATGCAACAGATGTTTTTACAACTGAGTAATCGGATTAGTGTAGGTTGTGAGATAGAATATATAATCGTTTTGTAATGGAATTGTAATTTCTTATTGTTAAATATTTAACTATACTCGTCCGCGTATAGCTCCGGAGACAGTTACTGCGTGAAGGCGGACACAGATTTCCTATTTTTCCCCAAAGGGTATTTTTTAGGTTTTTTCTGGTTGGCGGGGCTGTCGGTGATGGAGAAAGGTTGTAAGACATTGAGTTATGTCTGAGTAATGGTGTAAGATATAGGGTAATGATTGTAGATATAATGTTGTTTGTATATAATGATGTTTGTATATTTGGAAAGGTGTAAGATATAGATTTATGTTATGGTGTAAGATAGTAATGTTTGTAGATTATAATATTGCTTGTATATAATGTATATAGCTGATATATAATTAAAGGCGGTTCGACGCTGCATACCACTAGAAGTGTTATGGGTTTTGATATGGAGCAGGGGAGGAAGAGAACAACCTTGTGGGTTTTCTCCGGTCCCCCGGTTTGATCTCACTGCTAAAGACCTCTATTTAAATAAAATTGAACCATATGTTAGTCGCCAACTTACCAAGTTTGTCTCGAGTTGACGTTACCCCCCCCACCCTCTCTCTCGCCCCCCTCTCTCACACACGCCGTGAGGTTAAAATTAAAGGATCAATTGTATAGTACTAAATTGTTAATGAAGTGTTTATTTCTTCTTGAAAATATTTCTTCTTTGTACATCGATACAATTGTATTAAACCGATTGTGATTTGGCCGATTTAATCTGGATAAATGAAATCATGTCCCGATCCTCCATTAATTTTGTATTTTCAAGTATCAAATTTCTCACAGTTTAATACACGCTAAATATGCAACCAGGTTGATAATTTAATATTTAATTAAGAAAACAAAATCAAGATCAAAATAAAAACGCTAGAGAATCTCCTTTCTTGGATTCAATCGAATGTTACTCCGCTACCGATGACGGATGATGGCGTAGTGTTACGCCCGAGCAGCATAGATCGATGAAATTTCAGTTTAACATAACTGTGTAAATACGAAATGAAATGAAATGGGGTTTAACGTCCCACGGTTCTGCTCCGAACTGGCCTAATAAAGACCGGCATACGCCATACAGTGAGTTATAAGGGAAATTTTGCCCGGACAGCGGCACTACCAATTTGATGAATTGGTTTAACTATGGTTTTAAGTTAGCCTTAGGTCTAAAGTGTCCAAAATTGGTTGATGGACTTCTGGGTCACTTTGCCAAATGTCAGTTTGTCGGCCATCTTTAAGAATGGCCGCCGTTTCTTTTTCATTTGAAATAGTGCGAGTCGGAGAAGCCTTCATAACTCCTGAACAGTTTCATCTATGGATATGTAATATAGCTCAAAATGTTCATAATATAATTCAGCATCAGCATCAATACTATCAGTTTTAAAAAAATTAATCTGAAAAAAGCAACATTTTCGATTGTTTTCATGTCTGTATATAAGTTTTCTTACAAATCGTGTCGAAACACACATAAGCCAAATTGATCATAAAAAAATAATCTCTAATATGAGTGTCCCAGATCCAAGATGGCGGAAATTCAAAATGGCGACTAAATTTCCTAAACTGGTCAATTTGTCAGATAATAGTTATTTCTTTGTTTGATACGATCAGTGTTGCGAAAGATATATTATGTAAGATTAAGATAGGGGCTAGCCATTCTTGCTACAATAGTTCGAAAATAGATAATGAAAAATGAATAATTTGACAATTTTATTCAAATTACTCTATTGCGAGCGAAGATATTAGGCTTTAAAGGTTTGACAAGACGTGTGCAATAATTTCAACCACCGTACTGGTTGTTCGACGCTAAGTCTCGCTCCTCCATTTTTAGATTAAATCAAAATATGACTAAACCGTTCTAATCTATTTAATATCGGAAAAATCCGATGCCACCGAGAGTTGATTATGGCCTGGATCAGTTAATTGATGTCTATTTAATAATTTAGAAAACATCTCAGACCCAAAGAAAGACCTGCAATATTTTGCTGTTACATAATGTATGTTTAATCTAAACAAAGAGTTTGAAAAATTCAAGATGGCGAAAATTCAAAATGGCGGCCAGAATTTCCGTAAAATGAATGATTATTTAGAAAATCATCAATTTTCTGTTTTATATAGCTTATAATATCTCTTCTAAAGGTTTTCAGTATTTTTGAGTTTTTATTCAAGTTCAGTTTAAAGGAGTCAAATTGCTAATATTTGGGACCTAGAAATTGACCCAAATGGGTCGCAACGCATATAATAATGTAATCTGATTGTATATGAACTAACATTCAATTGTTTCCGTTTTGACTCTAATTTCAAATCAGTTAGGTCCAGCGAAATACGGCACGAGTCTCAACTGAATAGAAATTTCTAGCGTCTTGTTATTCCAGTCTATTGCGCATGCTCTCCAGATAAGTTATGGCGTCGCCGTATGACATGAGTTGTGGAATATATCTAGCCTCGCTCTTTCTGGTCACTTGTTACCAATGGTAAAATGTTTATTGTCTTAAATATTGGATATCAGAAGCCTACCTTTTCCTGGTAAGATAACAACAATGTTGATTTGAATTTTCAACATGTAAAACTGGATGATATTGAGTTAGAGACTTAGCTACTTTAATTTCATCTCCTATGCCTTTGCACCATTTTTAGCCGTATTGAGAATTATTTAAGATAATATATCCAGAAGTAAAGTTTTCTTATTCGTCCAGAAATGGTAATGTGGTCCGTTTTTACATTAAAGACTATATGCCCGGCTACTCTTATCGTATAGTCTAGTAGACCAGCAGCCAAAACTTTTAGCTTACTTAGAAACACAGTTCACCTACAAGGTCCTCCCCTACTAAACAAACTATATATTCTTGGAAAGCGTATAACACCAGGAACATAAATCCAAGCAAAATGTTTTAAGGCCAGATGAAAATTGTGATAATTGTCAAGTAAATGCTATATTTATACTGACAATTGTGAAGTTGGCATAAAATTACACATATGATACCTAGGATAGGACAGGCTTATCTTTGTTCCGTGAGGTGAACGACGGGGTTCTCTTCAACCAGGCTCGAAATTTCTTTTGAAAAAAATGACTGTAAATGGTGTTTTCTAGGGTCTTTTTAGCTTATGCATACGTCTTAACAATTCATCAAAAACGACGTAAATTCATGACTACGCAAGAACATTAACTAGTTTAGGGACCCCCGAAACTACCATACTCCTTTAGAGTGTCCACCCCTGAAAAAGGAGGCGAAAGGTATGATGTTAAAACGTGTTTCAAATTCCCGCATTACTTGAATACTTTAATTGTCAGTAAAACTACGCCATATAAAATGATAATTCGTATATTATTTTACAGTTATATATAAAAAAAATGTTTCCTTTTTATACAATGAACAATTTATTGTTAAGTCGTGTAGAAAGATATGGTGCTTAAACGTGTTGCAAATTTCCATATTACATGCTAACTTATCATATAAACAATTGGTATTTATTTTACATGTACAAACAATGTTTCCGTTTTATCAAATGAAAAATTTATTGTTAATTCGCGTAGAAAGATATGATGTTAAACATGTTACAAATTAACAACTGGTATATTAGTCGAGTATTTTACAGCTACAAAAAAGTTTACGCTTAATCGAACATTCCAATAAACAATTTATTTTTAAGTTGAAGAGAGAGACCTACAGGTGGTAGACCATATTAAAAGCTGTTTAAATGTGTATTTTCATAAACTTTGTATGCAAATAGATAATTATACTAAAGGGCCGTCTGGATAGAAAATAAGATTTTGTGTGAGACAGGTGTCCTGGAAAAAAATGGGTTCACTAACAACACATATCTGGTTCTACAAATTGTATTTGTCCCTTCTAAGCTAATTCCTCTGCGAAACAAACCTTTCCGTTTCATCGCAAATTCCAATAAATAATTCATTTTTAGAGATCAATTTTAAATTCAGTGGCTACGAAAACCCTGAATATGATATACCACAAGCCCTACCTTGCGTGATACTCACCCATCCTAACTAGAATTTCGTTTTTCCTTAACTTTTGGCGATCATTTTGGAAATCGGACAGAACCCCAACCGAAAATGACGTCAAAGAAGTGACATAATCTCAAAAATTGTCTTCAGAGACAAATTTGGACACAGAAACAACCCGTCCCCAAATATCGTTTCGATTGTGACACATTAGCTAAACGTTCATTAAGTTGGTGCCCTGCCTCGCCGACGTTCAACAATTTAAATTTGGCAGTTCACTTAAGACTTTTGTTGAGTTTGCGGCCACCGCAGCTGTACAGGGAGGACCACTTGGCGTATTTGTTTATGCCAAATGAATAACTTAAGGAGACCACACACATAATTTGGCTAAAATTACTCTGAACATGATTTGGTAGTAAACGTCCACTCGACACAATCTAGGTCATATCCGAACTAACATATGGTTCAATTTTATTTCAATAATTCGCTTGCGCGTAGGTACATGTAGCAGTGGAAGGAAACCGGGCCCCCCGGAGAAAACCCACGAGGTTGGCTGTGCAACCCTAGGCGGGGGTAATGTTGGGGGTGGGGGGGAGGCGAAACCGCGCTACTTGCCTTAGTGACAGACCTTCCTATTTCACACGCACTGGTTAAACCACTAGATCATCCAACTCCACCCTCATATTAGAACTTTCTATACAGTTTATTTTTCAACTGTAAATCAACAGTTTTATGGTTACGAGAAGCAGTACTTGAAACCTCAACTCGGGAGCTGGCAACACATGTCACGTCACTGTTTACCACTTTTGAATTATAACACAATTTAAAGCGTCCACATTTATAATTATTTCTGTTGAGTTATTCATATTTTTTTTTAAATAGGATCTTATTAAAGGAGGAACGTATAATGGACCAATAGAAGCCGCCAAGGCAGTGGGTAAATTTATCCCTACTGATAGGGACAACGTAAAGATATTGGATATCGCTGCTGGCACAGGCTATGTCGGAGAAGAGGTAAATCTTTCATTTATATAGTGAAAAACGGGGCTCACATTGCTCGTCAAAGTCGCAAGTTGCAATAAAAATATGAAAGTGACGATTAAAATTTTGGCGATAACATTTTACGGTACTGGCGATTCTTTTTGAGAACTAGCAAAAAAAATCTTAAAAATTCTAATCGTATCCTAGATTTACCATTACATTGAATGTCAAAAAAACGGGGCAGTATAGGCGGGGCAATTTAATCTCAAAAGTGGAGTCATCCCAAACAAATTGCAAAATAAACCAATGCAATTTGGCTTAATCATGCTTATATCAACATCATACTCATATTCGGCCGACAATCAATAGATTTTCATTAAAATCTTACAATAAAATGTGGTAACAGATAGGAAATGATCCGAATATAACAAATTTGACCAAACCAATTTTTAAACAAAAATTATTTTTCTCATGGTACCGGCCAAATCTTCAACGGAATTATCAGTGAGCAGAAACTCGACCGTGTATCTGTTATCGCTTGTTACTTCAGTCTGTTATATATATTTATAATGATAACTCTTGTTTTCCACTTTTTTGCTTCACTTCCCGTCTCTTAAAACCGACGTTATGCATCTATCTTAACAATGATCTCGGCATTAAATTTATATTTGGAACGTGTCTACCCAGTTCTTTCACATATGTGATAATGGCTGACACCAATATTGTCATTTAAACTTAGTGTTTTCTAATATTTTTGGATTGAGGCGGGTGACATCAGCCGCACCATTAGCTTGTTCGCATGAACTCGGTTATATTGCACTGATTGTGGTTGTATTGCTTTTTACTTTTCTTTTAGCCTATCGTTTATGTAATGCACCCCCGAATATTTTAGAACACAATAAATTATATTTATTTAACACTAAATGGCAGTAATTAAATCGTAGAATTAGTAGCTAGGTGTAATTTATAACATTAAGCCGTTATTGGAAAATACGTATATGCATGGAAACATGCATCCACCAGAATCGTATTCGTCCAATTAGGTTATGAGGATTTTGACTTGGAAGCAGAGGCCCATTTAATAGCCCCGTACTTTCTACCTGATCATACTCCAGTAGATTTATAGCATGACAGATCGACAAATGCATTTTAAATAAATAAATACATAAATAAATAAATGAAATAAATATATAAACGTTCATCTGTTTTAGTTACACCAGATGGGGTTTCTTCACGTTGATGCACTGGAACCGTCTGAAGGGATGCTGGCCATCGCCAAAGAGAAGGGTGTATATAAAAACTATATATTAGATATCCTTGGTGGAAAGAAATATTCTATAGGCACTGGTATGATATGATTTACGATGTTATATTCCTTACGTATATCTCACCTGGGAACCATGGTGAAATGAAATGGGGTTTAACGTCCTACTGTTCTGTTCCGACTGGGCTAATGAAGACGGGCATATGCCATAGAGTGTGCTATGAGGGAAATGACCTACTCTTATATCGAATTCCAACAGCCAAGGGATATTTTACGTGCATGTATACACGGGACCTCGGTTTTTCGTCCCATCCGAACGACTAGACAGCTGTACTTGTCACGTCCTCTGTCTCGCACCACTGACAAGGGGAAACCACGTCGGAAAATCCCGATGAATTTCTCGGCCAATGCAGGGATCGAACACCCGACCTCTAGGCTAGCGAGCCAGCGTCTTCCCAGTTAGCCCTGGGAAACATGGTGTAATTTAAGTTTGTTATTTTATTATTATTTTCGTTCACCTTTGACGACACTTGGGCTAAATGTCAAGATTGACCAGAAATCTAGCACACCCGCCGATTCGTGTTTTGAATCACACATTTCACCTGGCTCAACATTTTGTTAGAAGTGTCCTCGACAATGAAGGAGTCCCTAAACCACCAAAGAGAAAGAGCAGGAACTGACAGAAATGTGTTAAAGGGAGATAACCGCTAGAAAAATCCCAGGGTAAAAATTGTGTTTAAGTCAGGGTAAATAACACACCAACGACAAACCATACCCGTAAACTTCCATTTTGATCAGAATGGAAAGGGGGGGGGGGTACTTTTTAACAGTAAACAATGGTCCAAATCACTTATTCAAATAAAAAAATAAATCGGGATGAAATTAGTTTCATTTCTAATCGCTACTAATCGGTTTTCTGTTTTGTTTTGTTCAGACTTTTATGACTGCACTGTTCAGTTAATAAGGCGGCAGTATTGTTTTGTTTTTTTCAGATTGTGATGACTGTATTGGGTTTTTTTTTACTCTTTAGATTATTATGGCTCTATTGTTGTTTTGTTTTGTTTAGGTCATTATGACTGTAATGTTGTTTTGTTTTGTTCATCATTATGTCTGTAATATTGTTTTGTTTTGTTCAGATGATTATGATTATAGTGTTGTTTTGTTTTGTTTAGATTTCTATGACTGTTGTGTTGTATCTGGTGGAATGGGTGAAGGTCATATACCTTGTACAGGTATTCTAGAGATGATACGTATAGTTAAACCAGGTACGTTTAGCTTCGACAGGGCTAATTAAGACGGGCGTACGCTATACAGTGGACAGTAGGACTGCGGTCTAATCTAATGTTTTACGTGCACGCCAATGTGTTCACGGATCATGGTTTTTCATCCCATCCGAACGAATAGACACTATCCTTGCCATACCTTCCGTTCTGCGAACCAGAGACCTATATATCGAGCCAGCGTCTTACTCGCCGAGCCAGTATGGACAGGTTATACCAAATCCCTGTAGATCATTGTCCTTTAAAGATAAAAGCATTAAGAAGTCGACAGTGATCAAGTTCTACCCCAAAGTGATTGTGCTTGCGCCAATCAAACAAAAGACCCTGGAGATTGAATCTGCAGTTTTATGGGTGGGCATGTAACCCAGATACTTTTAAAGTCACCAATTTGTAGTTTTACTTTATGTACAGAATAAGTCAGTAACATAACGCTTATCGAATGTCGGGTGGTAGGATGGCCTAAAGGTTAGGGTGTGCACGCTGTATCATAAGGTCTGACATTGAGTCAACTGGCGTGGTTTCGATTCCCCGGTTGTACGTGACAAGGAGTTGGGCCGCCTGTCCAACCTCGTGGGTTTTCTCCGGGTCCTCCGGTTTCTTCCCACTGATAAAACCCCTACGCGGAAGCGAATTATTGAAATAAATTTGAACCATATGTTAGTCCCGAAATGACCTAGTTTGTGTCGAGTGGACGTTAAACCCCATTTCTCCCTTTCCCTTATCGAATGTCAGATCCCAAAAGGACAAACACCCCACTCGTGCTAGAGGACATTTTCTTATAAATTATGATCGGTTGATAATTAATGCGTGTCAATGTCGATCCATTATAGTGTTTTTGACGATTGGGTGAGCAAATAGTCGAAAGCATTGCGGATAACAGGTATGTCATATATGCAAGTCGTGGATTGCATATGCATAGCGTAGAAATGCAATAATTGTGTTAAATGGATGTTAAACCCCATTTGTCATATTTCAGGAGGTATCGTTGTCATAGCAATGAGAGAGGAATATTTAAACTATGTGGAAGAATATCAGAATAAGTTGGAACCAATGATGGAAGAATTGGAGAAAGAAGGAGTCTGGGAAAAGATCGACAGAAGTATCTATGAAAATCATTTCGTGGGGAAAACTGGAGTTTTATTTCTCTATAGAGTAAAGGATAAGGGGGTATCGGGTCGCTAAGTCGGTACTAAATACAGGATTGTTTGGGTTTTGTTTGGGTTGAACCAAAGAGGAAATCTCAAAACAAGGTTTTTTTTGTCTAATACCTATTTTTTAATTTATTTTCTCAAAATCCGTGAATAAGTTCAAGCACCTCTCAACAAAATACACCAATTATTTCAAGCACCTCAATAACTACGTCAATAAGTTCAAGCACGCCCTATAAGTTCACCGCAAAATACGCCAATATACGCCAAGGTCAAGCACGCCCTATAAGTTCACCCCATTCTAAGAATAGTCAGAATGGAATCTAATCATATTTCAATTCGTTATGAATTAAAGTAATATCTTGTTATTTAGGTGTTTTACGTTAAAACTGAAAAACTGCTAATCAATTTTTAAATTTGCTAATCAAATTTGGCAAAATTGGACTTTTTGATAATCAACTGTGAAAAATTACCGACAGCCCTGGATGGGTCCCAATTTACATTGTATCTTGTTATATTGCAATACATAAAGTGATATATCCTTGTTTTACATATTAATATATATATAAAAATATAATCTTTTGTTTCTTTGTTTATTAAATTGTTATCTATATCTACACGACTATTATTTGTTGTTTTGTATAAATGCCGTATAACACCCACTGCTGAAAACAACTGCCCCACTGCTTTGTAACTTAATAAAGAAATGAAATGGGGTTTAACATCCTACTGTTCTGCTCCTATACTGGGCTAATGAAGACGGGCATACGCCATACAGTGTGCTATGAGGAAAATTTTGCCCGAGTAGCGACACTATCGCCTACTCTTATATCGAATTCCAACTGCCAGGGGATCTTTTACGTGCATTCCAATATATACACGGAACCTCGGTTTTCCGTCTCATCCGAAAGACTAGACAGCTGTCCTTGTCCGTTCTACACCACTGACAAGGAGAAACTACGTCGGAAAATCTGGATGTACTTTCTCGGCCAATGCAGGGATCGAACACCCGACCTCCAGGCTAGCGAGCCAGCGTCTTAACCACCTAGCCACCGTGGCTCCCGCTTTGTAACGTAATAAAGAAATGAAATTGAAATGAAATGGGGAATAACGTCGTAAAAGTTCTGTTCCAACTGAGTTAATGAAGACGGGCATACGCATGCACTACATTGCACTACATGGCCTACTCTTATATCAATTTCCAAATGCCAAGCGTTTTTTTGACGTGCACTCCAATGTCCACACGGGACCTCGGATTCCCGTCTTATCAGCACGTATATACATTGTCCCTTGAAAAAATTTGTCCAGCACCACTGACAAGGAGGAAACAACTCGGAACATTCAGATGAACTCTCTCGTCCAATACCGGGATCAAACACCAAACCTCGAGTTCAGCGAGCCATAGTCTTACTTACTGAGCCACCGTGGCTCCCAAGTAATACAGAAGCGGCGAGGCAATACCGATGTGATGTTGCCAAATGAACATTACGCACCTTTGGTACGATTCGAGAAAGCGAAAGTAGCATATTTAGGTAGACGTCACACTTGTGTACACCAGATCATTTCTAAGGTATATCAGATTCCATAACTAATGTGGGGTGGGGGGTGGGTGGAGATGGCCTAATGGTTAGAGCGTGCTCGTTGTATCATAAGGTCTGTCATTGAGGCATCTAGCGTGGTTTCGATCTCCCGGTTGTACGTGACAAGGAGTAAGGTCGCCTGTCCAACCACGTGGGTTTTCTCCGGGTCCTCCGGTTTCCTCCCAATGCTAAAGACCCCTACGCGCAAGCGAATTGTTGAAATAAAATTGAACCATATGTTAGTCCTAATATGACCTAGTTTGTGTTGAGTGGGCGTTAATCCCCATCTCTCTCTCTCTCTCTCTCTCTCTCCACACAACTAATGCCCTGATGCCGAACGATGAAACAAAATTCTCGACAACTATTGATAAATAATTATATATAAATAACAACCCTACCCGATACCCTCTCGTTATTAACAAACAACAAGATTTCCCTCGTGCTGTATAAGATGCATATATTTCAATTATAGTCTTATTTCATTGACGGGAAAGCCAATATCCGTTTGGAGTATTGTACTGTTGGTTTGAATTTAGTTGCGCTAAACCAGCCTTCTGATTGATGGGCCTTGGTCATAAAGATAGTACACGAAAGTAGTAAACGAAAGTAGCAAATGCAAGCAGTAAACGAAATAATTAACCGAAGTAGTAAACGAAATAAGTAAACGAAAGTTGTAAAGGAAACAATTAAACGAAAGTTGTAAAGGAAATAAGTAAACGAAAGTAGTAAACGAAACTAAAGTTATATATTAAATCTTTATTTATGAACATGAATATTGATATTTTGAGCTGATTTTCCCAAACTGAATGACTTCCTCTGATCTGCAAGTTCACGACCTTGGTACATGACCTTGACCTGATAATCACCATGGAAACCGTTTACTGTGAAGTAATTGGTGCCAGTTTTAGTTGTTTTTCTTGTCTCGTGCGTAGTCCATTGGTTCTCTAACAGATCTAGAACTCGACGCCCGGCAGCATTCACCTGATGAATAATAAATTGATGTCATTTTTTTCGGGGGCTTTGGTTGATAATTATCAATCCACTTAAGCGATAAAAGTATAATATCCGTTGGCCAAACTACGGTACAAGTAGTGGTCAAGTTACGTCACAAGTGATGGCCAACCAATTGCAGCCAACCTAAGGGGCCAGCAATGGCCAACCTACGAGACAATTGGTTGTCAATTAACCTGTGGTACAAGTAGCGGCGAGCCTATGGGAACAATGGTGGTCAAGGTTAGGAGGCTAATGGTGGCCCACCTACAGGACCTAAGGTGCCCACCCTATGGCATAGATGGAGGTCGACCAACGGGATCAATGGTAGTGAACCTGTTGTAAGGGTTGTAAATCTACGGGACCAATGATATCCAACCTACGGGACCAATGGTGACCAACCTATGGGACCAAGGGCTGCAAATCTACGGGACCAATGATATCCAACCTACGGGACCAATGGTGACCAACCTACGGGACCAAAGGTTGTAAATCTACGAGACCAATGATATCCAACCTACGGGACCAATGGTGACCAACCTACGGGACACGTGATGTACAGTTGGCACATTTGACCATTCCTGTAAGCACACTGCACCTCATGATAATAATGATCTAATATATGTCTTTAATTTTCCCTAATTTACCACTGAACAAAGTGATAACACAGAGTTTGTGGGTGGCTAGACGTTCTGTTCACAGAGACACGCAGACGCTTTATCATCTTGTCGGCGATATCACTTCGGTGGCAGTGGACGTTAAATAAAGCTATTTCACGCTATGTAATTGTCAGACATTTGTAGTGGCGGAGTATTCCTGACAAGAGTTTTAGCACAAACCGTAAAATCAGCATTCAAGATGGCGCCTTTTACGCCCCTCCAGTGGCGCGGGGCCCAAAACCCCCAGAATACAATTCCTTCCACAGCCGGATGTCCATAAAAACTCCTCAATGCGGTTTCATAATAATCCGCCCGTGTGTTTTCATCTGCTGCCATGACGTCCAGTTCTGTGATCCAGATTGGCAACTTGGCCTGTGCTAACACATCAAGGCGAGCCTTAAACAAATGAGAACGAAACATACATTACAATATTGGTGTCAGCCAACATAATATATATCATATTGAGTGTCAACATCAAATTCATCGTGAAAAACGATATCAAAACCCCCATTACACGCACACACGAGGGCTTGGCTCACCGGTCACCATGCGTCTGCTTTCACATCCTATAATAGTCAATCATCTAGCAACACGCGCTTCCACTCAGACACACTCGAACATCCAGACTCTCATTTACCGATTTTGAACATAACAATATATAAACCATTTAAACGCAGGGGACTGATCCAGGACAGCAACATCAAACTAAACAGATGCATTTCTACCCACACCGATATATTGCCGGAAGTCGGTGCAGTGACGATTAAATGGACCGGGGTTACATATCATGTTACAGTGCTTCAGCCATTTTGAGACATAAAGTTATTTTATTTATTGTGGTTACGCGAGGAAAAAGGCATGCATATACGACAAAATAGTTTTACCCTGAGCCCCTGTCGCGTAGGGTTTTGCGCCCGCTTCCACCTTGGGTGTTATCGCAGACAATAAAAATAAATAAATAAACCTACTTTAATAGCTGTTGGGTCTGGCCGCATTTCATCGGAAAAATGACCTTGAACTCCAATACCATACAGACCAGCGTTACTTCCCTTCACGTGAAGCGCTTGCTTCAGATACGCCTGAAAACAAATAATCACTTTTGGAATGATTACTATTATGAAAATAATTATGAACAATATTTGACCTTGGTCCGGTTATATTAATTAATGAAAGTTATTCATATTCATAACTTACCTTTGGATTTGTTCAAGGGGGGGGGGGTCGAAAGGTCTAACGAGTGCACACGTCTGTCATTGTGTCAAGTTGCCCGGTTTCGATCAAAAGCTTGAAAGTCACAAGGGGTGGGGTCGTCTATTTTCGTACTTCTGAATCTATACCGATACGTAATGAAAACGCACTACTTTGCGAGACATTGTGCTGCTGAAATTTGATTTTGGCAATGCCTCATTAACTAGGACGTTCGACCTGAGTGTCGACCGATGAAGTTACTCGGAATTTTACTGCCTAGTTTTCCTTTGTAAGTGTCGTGGGACAATAGTTCAGGCAAGAAACCGCATCTGGTTGTTCGAGTGGGACTTAGATAGTAGGAATTCGAAACAAAAGTAAGCTGTCCGGGAAAGTTTCCTCTCATAGAATACTGCATTGCATGTGGCCGTCTTCATTAGCCGGTTTGGCGCCAATTTTGCCCGCATCAGATTGTAACAACGCACGCGCTATCGAGGTCGTATGAGGTGACCTATTATGCACGTGAACTACAAGCTCTGCCATCTTCTATAGAAGGCTATCGCATTACCTCTGTGAAATAGATTGGCTATACCCATTAACGTACCTGTGTAAATTCACCTTGGGCTACAACATTGTAATCATTCAGGAATAGTTTAACAGTAGGATCTGTTTTATGGGCTTGTTTGAAGACTTCTACGTTATAATTCATATCTGATAATCTGTTCTGGTACCATTGCGCATGTAGATCTTCATTGTTTACATCCCAGTGTTCAACTCTTAAAAAGACATGTCCAATGATAGAAACCGGGCGATATTGCGCCAAATTTTAAATAAAAAAAGGTTAAACATACATTATGCAAGAGCTAAATCTGCCCATTGGAGGTCTTTCTTAAGGCCTGAAATGTTATCTAAATTACCAATTAGACATTAAATAACTTATCCAGACCATAATCAACTCTCGATGTTCAGATTAGCTGTTCGACTTCAATTCATGATTTAATCATGAAATGGATAATCCAGACTATTTTTTTATCGTACCGACTTTAGTAATGGCAAGCCAAAGCGGAATTAATTGCATGACCGTTTTTCTGTATGGAAAGAGAAAAAATCGAGTATATAACAATTTTTTCATCACCTTCCAAGCATTTTTTTCTGTACAAAACGACGTATATCAATAAAGATTATTTTTTTTCCACTGCTGCTCTTGTATTATGTTATAGTCAAGTCAATTATACTGTTCACAGAAATATTTTATCATTATATTCAGTTTTTATAAACAATTCAACAAAATTATTTTTCACGTGTCAAGACAAAAAAATACACATTTGGAATAAACAATTACAATTACATCACAACCCTGGTTTAGACAACTTGAAATTGAAATAGTTTTATTGTTGTACACATAATGAAAGAAGCTGTGTTATTTCACAGCTGAATTGTATGGTAAGAACCGCAGGACCACCTTGTAGGGAATAAGTTTTAATCTTTAACACCCTTATACACACTCTGCCAGCGGCATGTTTGACCTACATAAACTTAACCTTAATCCAAACTTTAAATCTTTCAATGGTTTAACAAGAAGGTGCTAAATATTTCCATTTAAACTTTTAACCTCTGTAAAGAAATACAAAAAGCAATTCGAAAAATAAACCATAAGTAAAGGAACCATCTCAGTGAATAAAGTATTAATATGCCGTTAACCCGTGACGCTAACCGAATTGTGTTTTATAGTAAATTAGACGAATAAAACATATAACGTTGCCATCTCGACCCTGATGCCCATGAACACAAATGACGAGTTTAAGACAAACCAATGGCGGAATGGAATTGATTAATGGGATATAAATTTTATTATGTATTGAGCATAAGTTTTCTGGTTAGATTTTAGCCTAAAAAACATGCGTGCTGGTGACAATTTTGGCAGTCATATCTGAATGACTCAAAAACTGGTTATATTTCTTTAACTTTTGGTATACTTGGTTTAAAGAGTATTTTATTTCTATTATATCATGATTATTTACAATACTGATATTGTGGATCTGAAAACAAGCCATAGCTTATATAAATTCATCTCCATGTATTTTGTAAATTTCAATAACATTGCTAAAATGTACAAATTTCAACGGTATTATATCTTACATTTATACAACTAAATAAATATATAAATAAATCATCTTCATGGTCATCATCATCGTCGCCTGCCAATTACCTTATCTATTCAAAGCGCTTGGTTAGTTTTAAATACTTGTGAACTTTACTAAAACTTAGGAACGCTTTTGTATTTATGGATTTAAATGGGAGAGTATTTAATGTTCAGATACGCTGAGACGAATAATTTGGGCAGTGCAGAAAATAATGGTCGCTGTCTTCTTGAGTATGGCCACATCTGCATGTCGGTTTATGTGAAATATGCATTTAAAATCTGAAATGAAATAAAATGAAATGGGGTTTAACGTCCTACTGTTCTGCCCTAAACTTGGGCTAATGAAGACTGGCATACGCCATACAGTGTGCTATGAGGGCAATTTTGCCCGGACAGCGGCACTACGACCTACTCTTATATCGAATTCCAACTGCAACTGCCAAGGGATCTTTTACGTGCACGCCAATGTGTACACGGGACCTCGGTTTTTTGTCCCATCCGAACGACTAGACAGCTTTCCTTGTCAGCACCTCCGCCCTGCATCACTGACAAGGGAGAACCACGCCGGAAAATCTGGATGAACTTTCTCGGCCAATGCAGGGATCGAACACCCGACCTCCAGACTAGCGAGCTAGCGTCTTACCCACTTAGCCACGTGATCCCCGCATTAAAAATCTATGGAAGTTTAGAGCATTTTTACAATTACGAAGTCTGGAATGTATAATCTGACATTTACGTTCTCCATAGTAACATCTTACTGACAACATTAAATACAAAAATATGACTAAGTCGACAATACGGTATACAAGCCAAAATGCAAGTCGAAAATAAGAAATTAGAAAAAACGAGGGGCGCTATTGTTACATAATCACAGATTATCTGATGTTAAAGACGCTTCCTGCCAACTTGACACCTGTTCGTTATCGACAGGCCTGGAGTTCTTGGTCTATGTGATTATGTAACGATTATGTAAACGTTAACTTGCTGGCATGTTTTATTTAAACTTTCTTTGTCTGATTAGCATGTATCGAATGTTAAACTTGATATGATACATTAGCCAAATGCCTAATAAGATCCTTTGTTTGGAAGGGTTTATAAACCCAGATTAAGAAACAAATCGACAGACAGGTCCGGCCAGGACAGGCCACGCAGGTCTGGAGTTAAGACCGGACAACGGCCATGTAATGTAAGTTAGTTAGGAGGTGGCACACTCGTGCCTAGCCGGGCTAGGGCCATGGCTCCCTCAATACAAGTTAATTACGAAGTCTTAAGTTTTGTATATAACATGTTAGAAGAAGCAGAGAATAAAAGTATTATAAGATGTTAAACTAGTCTTGTCATCTGAACCTGATTAAAGAACCAATACTGTCACACTATTATCGCAGTGTATTATTTCTTAATTTCCTATTTTCGAGTAGATTTTGGCTTGTATAGCGTGCTGTCGCCTCGCATTTTGTCGTGACTGCTACTTTAAGACTTTTCGACTTTCGTGTTTTGGAGGGCGAAAAGTAGAAATTAGAATGGTAGTTATAGGCTTCTATAGTTAGGCGTTTGTATATATGACTGTATACTTGACACGAATGGCTGGTAACCAAAGTGAGTGTTAAACAACATCGTAATTATTTTGGATTTTCCAACCCCCCCCCCCCAAAAAAAAACAACAAAAAAACACATGCCGTGATTTGTCATTACTAAAATATGGATTACTAAATATACTTTGTGTTAATTTTTATATTTTAATACTGAAGACAGGGCCGGACTATAAATGAACAAGGCGGATCCTTTTGGCTTATATTGAGTAATTAGTGCAACATGTTACAGTTGAAAGTTCCAAAGCATTTTCACATTCCATGGTGGGTCGTCGAAACATTTAGATGCATACACCACATCAACGTGGTTTTAACAACTTGCAACTGAACTAGTTTTATTGTTGTACACATAATGATCTAGAAATAATATATTTACGGTTTCTTTCTTCCAGGTTTATACTCTAATAATAGGTTTTATCCTTCAGGACTTCCAGTTTATTGGTTCACATACTTTTGTCTCTTTTCCAGTGCTTATTCAGTTTTTCACAGTTTAATTATACATTCTACATATCCCCGTTTTCTGTACTTAACCAGTTTTTTTATAGCCTGGAGATATGTTTCACTATCCTTTATTTTCAGTATATTGAATCAATATAAGTACGGCTTCCGCCGTCCATTTTTTACAGTCTAATAACAAGCTTTATATATCTTCCATGATTTTCTGCTCATTGAATTAATATATTTTATATTCTTATAATTTTATTTTTAATTTTTTAATTTATTATTATTTTTCTTTACACCTGTATCAGCGATCACTCTTGTTCACTTATACATGCACACTTCTGTTTATATTATTGTTTATCTGGTTCATTCCCATATCGCCGACTCGCCGAGTTTTAGGGAAAAAATTTTGGTCGGCATTAAGGGATTTAGTGACCAAGAACAATAGACCCAAGCTGAAGGATAAAACTAATTAAGCTGATAATTTTGAGAGCATTTATTTTTTTTTTTAAATTTATAACAACCTTTAACACACAATATAACACGTAATTTTAACTTTTTGCATGCATAAGTTGTCCAACATGGTCCAAAAGTTCTACCAAATTCATTCTTCCTTGTTCATATCTATGTTTCGAATCTTCAGTCTTCCTGTTGATATAAGTGTATTTTTTCTCTTTAGGTGGTTGTCGCTGGCCACTTGAATACTGCATAACTGAATTTCAATGGTCTTTTGCACTTCTTGCAAAAATGCCATTACTTCAAAAATATTAGGATGAGCTTTTTCCAATTAATTTTTGTAGGCGTCCGTGTCATCCCTCTAAAGAGTTGTTGGTTCTTCGCGTGGTTTGGTTGTGGTTCCATTGTATCTGTAAATTGGCCGTCTAACCATTGCGTAACCATGTAGTCGGTCAGTTGTCTGTATTTCATATTATCTGGTACTTCGGCCATTATTTGACCCAGTTGTTGAACATTCCTCCAAATATATTGACCATATTGAAAATTACACCCTCTCCAATCTTCATCAGGAAAAACTGCCTCACTAGCATTCTTTGCCGCCAACTCAACTCAAATTAGTGAGTGAGTTGAATTCTGATAAAAATCAATTTAAGTGAACTATATTAATAATGACTTGTCCCTGTCTCATTAACGCTTTTAATCCGTTTTTAACCCATCAAAGAGTGCCGCAGTCGACTTTCCAAATTCTGGTGAGTCGGCGATATGGGAAGACCCCGTTTATCTATAGCTCAGGTTAATTGGTTTTCCATTAACAGTGTTAATACACTGATCGTTATAAATATAACATCCACCTCCTTTTAATCTCTGTAAGAGATTTCTGTTGTGTAGGTTTAGTTCCTAATGGCCCCCTAATCAAAGGTGTTAAGCTTTAATTGCATTTGATTATTATCTTTGTTGCAAATTCTGTAGATATATATTTGCCCACAATTCACATATTTGTATCATTTGCTTAATAAAGTCGAGAGTATCCTCGTCGAAACGTGGCTTAGTATTAAACTCAGTAATTGTGTATCCATAAAATTGTACCTTGTGTTAATTATATCTAGGTTTTTCTTGGCGCTAGGAATATGTGGGCTAACTTGATCTC